GGGAAGAAGGAAAAATCAGAGTGTAGAAGAGAGTACATCCTTGGTTGTTGAAGAGAATGAAAATACAACACTGGGATCTAAACAAACAAATACTAAAAGATCTGCACGTGGTAAGAGAGAGACACCACCAACAGATGTTTTGCATACTGAAATTAATGTTACAATGAGGCATTCTGCAAGAGCCAGACCTTCACAACCTTCTGATGAACAAAATGAAATTGTGAAGGAGCAGACTTCAAAGACCAAATCAGTACAATGGCACCCTCTTGTGGCTTCTCAAGGAACTTTACCAGAGAGCCAAACTGCAAAAATTGTGGAGGCTAATTCTCCAAGCATTGGTCGCCGTAAAGGGAAGAACAAACAGGTAGTTGAGGAATCCATTCCAGTTAAAAGGTCTCTTCGAGGAACGGTTGAAGAAAACGATATGGTTCACACTGCTGAAACAAGTCCTGTCAAAGCCAAAAGAAGCCCTGCCAAAAAAGTAAAGAGTATGCAATTAAAAGAAGTTCCAGATGAAGATACTTCAAGGAGAGAGCAAGATCGTCTTACACCAACCTTGGCTTTGGGAGAAACTGTGACAGTTGAGAAGAGGGGTAAAGGCAGGAGAACTAATAAATCCTCACAGAAAGATTCTTCTGATTTTACACATAGTGAGTTTAGTGCTGAATCAAACATGCCTCTTCACAAAGATATTTCAAATCAGAAAGAAAGGCAAAGAGGAGCACTCTCTAAAGCTTTAGACCTGGAAAATAATGAAGTTGAAGAAAGTGCAGTTACAAATAGACGAGGGCGTAGAGCAGCCATTCAAGCTTATCCTCAGGAAAATATAAACGAGTCTCCCATCAAAAGTTTAAGAAAGGGAGCTTCAGTTTCTGAAAGCAAGGACTCAGAAAACAATGCACCCAAATCAAGGCAGGGTGTGAAAAGGAAAATAACCAGTGTTGAGCCTATAAATGAAAGTTCGGATGTAGCCGTCCTTGTGACTGTTTCATCGTCCACCACACGCACAAGAAGAAATGCAAAAAATATTTTAATGCAAAATGAGTATCCGGCAAAGAAACAGAAAACAGGTAATTAAATGTAATCTGAAACCACATTTTATAATATATTTGTTAGTACAAAAGTGTAGAAAAAACTTCAAGGGACACTCCACTGCCCAAATATAAAAACCTATAAATCACTGTTTAGTTGATATACCGCCAATGAAACTATGCATGCGTTTAATTATTACGATTGGGGTATATTTAAAAACCTCTTGTAAAAGCTGCAGGTCTAATTTTAAGTATTTGTAGACCCTCCCCTTCTAACCCCACACAGACTTTGTTGCTGTCCACAGATTTCCCAGTGCAGCTCAATAAGTCTTTGCAAGACATATGCTCTGGGCAATTGCTGCCTCTTGTGTTTAACCAACCCAGGAAGTAACGAGTCTGGTTATTGGACAAGGTCAGAATTAAAGTAGACTAATAGAAACAAATCAATATACATACCAATGTTAAAGTAGGGATTACCAAACAATGTAATTTACCGTTTTCTAAGGATTAAGAGTTGAAGGGCATGAATAGTATACGTGAATACGTCAAAGGAAAGCAGTGTCTTGGAAGTGATCCAACTTTTTACATTGTGTGAAGATACAAAAAAGCAAAACAAAATTACTCTCCTTTTAAACTCCTAAAGCAGCAACTGCATGATAGTAGACCCTTTTCAAAACAGAATAAGGCTCCTCTCATCAGGATACTCTTTGTAGTTTCCTTACTCCCTTTCCTTCCTTAGCACCATGATCCCTCTATGGGTTATCTAGTTTATCCTGCAACCACAGTTCAGCTTGTCATACAGATGTACCCTGCACTGTACCCTCAAGTTTGGATCTTGGATGACAAGGGAAAACCCATAATTAAGAGAAAACAAGCTTGAAGCGGGATACGTTTTTAACCTTTTATCGGCTTTAAGCCACATGGAGTAAGGAGACTTTGAACTATGTGCACCACAACATATATATTTTGGGGATAGGTTATGGTTCTTAAAGTGACCTTGTAAAAAAGTAAGCTACTATGTCGGTTATCACAATGTGATATTTTTTTTTGACAGACATTTATAAGAGTAACTGTAGCAATGTTTCATATGATTACAAACTACTTAAAGGGACACTGTAGGCTCTCGGACCACTTCAGCTCAAAATCTGCACTGTGGCTTTCTACCAGAATGGAAACTGACCTTTATTCCGTTATCTGAAGCTGGACGTTCTGCATGAGGACCTCCACCATCAGATTTGAGCCACGTCCTCTTTAGCAGGAATAGTGAGATACTACTTTAAAGCAGCAGTCACTAAATGTTTACGGTACTGCTTTGCTGTAAAGTGACATTTCACTTCTGCGAGAAAATGGGATGTTGAGTGGGCACCTGGCAAGAACTTGGTAAGTTTTCAAATAATGTTAAAACAGACATCTCAGTGACTGCGCCAGGGCACTCTTTGTACAATTAACACCACAATATCTGTAGTGTAATGGTGCATAGAATGTTTTTTGGGGGACACTAGCATTAGGAATACAGATTCGTATTCATAACGCTATAGTCTCACTGTCCTTAGTGAGTTGCACATCCCACCCCATCTTTTGGGTACCGTTGCCAAATTTGTTGTTCTCACTGCAATCCGCCAGTCAATATCTTGCCATAGGGAATCCCTGAATGCAATTATTCTCTACGGCAAGCTGTAACAGCACATGAGATATGCCTGGTTGTAAGCCGGGAAGCAACAGTCCTAGCTTTTCTACCCAGGTGGTGATGATAATAAAGTGGTCTTGGGTGCCTTTAGTGGTCCTATAATTTGTTGCATTACTTCTTAGTTATGTAAACGGATTTATTTTCCTTGAATTTCTAATTTGTATTCATTTTTCCTAGAAGCAGCTATTGATGCAACTCAGAAAGCTGGGAAATCACAAAGTGTATCTAAAGCTAAAAACGAAAAGGCAGCTAAAGTGAGAACAACCAGAGCAACAACTACTAGAGCAAGTGCACGCACAAAGAAATAATTGTGAATGTATTGATTCCTTTTTTTTTTTTTTTTAAAAGGTCTGCTTTCATCCTGTGCTAAATTAAATGACTATAGAATTTTTCGAATCATTTAAGTTTTTATGTAATTTTTAGATGTTTCAAAGTTTTGAGCACAGCAGTTTTTCCTCAAAAAAATGTACATTTTTATATTTTTATCTAATATTTTATTCAATTTTGTCATAGCCCGTTCTAAGCTTTATATTTTTAAGCAATATATCCTGTGACTGGAATTTGGAAATGTTCTAAGTCCTTTTTTTTGTTTTTTTTTAATTCTCCCCTGTATTACATGTTAGAATGGTTTGTGATGTTGAATAAATTGAACGGCCAGTTCTTTTTTTTTTTTTTATATAGGTCTTATATTTTTGTGGTTTAAAATAAAATGTAATGAAGTGATTCTTAATTTGTCACAGTAGTGATTGACTCACTTATGTGTTGGAGATTGTATTAAAGTCATTCCTGTGTCTGTAATTAAGTCTATAATTGGTTTTACAAAATTCCAGCTATACTCAGTCTTATTGATTACAAACATGAAACACAAGATTGTAATGTTGCTTTTAAAAAAAATATTTAACATGGATACCATTTGTTATTAAAAAATAAATCTGTCTACTTAAAACCCACATTTTAAACTTTGTGTAACTCCAGCTGTGGTGGTCTATTAGACGCAGTGTTCCCCAACACAGTCCTCAGGGACCACCAACAGTCCAGGATTTATGTATTTCCCTGTTTTATTCCAATGGAGATACTGACAAAACCTGGACTGGGTTGGGGATCCCTGTATTAGCGTATACTGGTAACAGCTGGCAGGACTTTCTTCCTTGATCACTATTTAAAATGTATAATTTATACATTCCTTGCTGTCAGAAAATTCAAGATTGCCTGCCACTATAAATTTTAATCACTTTAATTCTCCGCTTGCTAAACATTTTGTAAAACAATTTGAGTTTAAAAGCAGCTATGTTTAATTTTTTTTTGGGGGGGGGTGGGGGAGAATGGGTGGTGAGGTGTATGACCCCCCACCCTCCCCCCCTTATTGATCATACTCCCTCATTTGCCACTTGCCTTTATTTATAATTATTCCTTGAGCCAGATCTACATATCTGGCCTTAGCTGTTTTAATCAACTTTCACCATATCTGCTCTATGCCCTTCTGTGGGTTTCAGTTTAATTATGCATTGTCTGGCAACTGAAACAGAACCTTGTTGAAGCTCTGTCCATTGTCAAGTTTTGTCAACTTGACTGCCAAGCATAAGGAACAATAGTCCTTGTGTATTTTTATGAAAATTATAGCACTCAGGAACAAGATTCACATACAGCGGACTATTCTGAAGCAGAATACATTACTTTTGGTGACAGTCGTTTTAAGGGAATTAGTTGAATAGTCAATTTTGTCTACCACCTGCTCTTTAGACTGGCCAGTACCTTTCATTTCCAAAGGACTTACACTTTTTTTTTTTGGTCAGTCCTATGGAGTTGTTGGAGTTAAAATGTTTTATTTCGCTATATATTGCTTAGCGCAAAACTCAACTGAAAGTATTTTATAGGTTTCTACATGTGGAGCACATTTACCATTAGAAACTACATTAGCAAAGTTGAGGAATAATATCTACTTCATGTAGCAGATTTAAAGATTATTTTGTTTTTATTGAATGTTTAACACAATTAAAAAGAATGTATAGAGTTCAATATTTGACAATATTTGAATGTTAAACAAGGAACATATTTACATCTTTGTATGTTTGCTCCATTATGGAAACATGGATTACTTTGTAAACAAACCTCAATAAATACAAAATGTTATTTTCTTGATTGAGCATTTTGTATTTTTTGCTTGAAAGTATGATGGAAAGCAGAAATGCATTCAGAGAAGACTGCAAATCATTTTAGCCATAGTTTGAAGTGCAGTTAATATTTGCCTCAACTGAAACTTGGGACAGAATCCCTGAGAAGAACTCCAATGTAAGTGTTTTGTTTCTCTCTCCCCTCGCCTTTCAGAGCCCGATTATTTGTTGAGCTACACTACTCACCCTATTACATTTTTCAGGCACAGCCAAAAATTTACTTTAGATTAAAGGGACACTGTAAACCCTGTAACTGCTAAATCACATTAAAATAGCTCTGTCTGAAGTCCCATGGCAACATTCTTCTATTCAATGTTAAATTGTTTTTAATACTATGAGAGTTCCAAGCAGCTACTCCCATGCTGATTGTGTTAGAGGAAGTATTGCCCTGAGCAGCCATGTGATGAGTGTCAGCTGAGCAGCTGTTTGGCTGAGTGTCAGCTCACTTTTCAGCCTGTCTGTGCATATTCATTTATGAATTGGCATGGCTAGACTGTTGTGTAATATCTAAAACCAAAGTGAAAACTGCTGTGATTCTATGAACAGCTGCCTATTTTTGCCATTACTTCCTTGCTAGCTGTGTCTTTAGAATGCACTTTGCCTTTTGGTGCACTGTAGTGTTAGGAACTGCAGTGAATGCTGGAACATTGTAGGACTTATTTTGCTGAGGTAACGATTATTTTTACACTGCAACAAAAAACACAATTTGAGAGAGACAAAACATCAGTAGCATGCTCTTTGTTTTAGTCCCTGCTCCGATCTTAATGTTTACTCCCTCACCTTTTCCATTATGGATTGAATGTACCATTTGAATATCAGACTGAAAGTCCAGATGCAAAATGCTGGCAAGTTCAATCTGCACGAGATACAGCAACTGCAAATGTTCAGACAAGTGTACAAATTTCCCCTTTAAAATAAATATATATAATCTAGGGTCTAATTTTTTTATATGTATTAAGATAACGGTTATAATCACTTTAATAGAATTCATTTTTCATAATTTTTAAAATATACTCTACATTTACCACTTCAAAATGTTTTCATTACATTTACTATTATACCACATTTTTATAATTACCGTATTTATCGGTGTATAACACGCACCTCATTTTAAGAAGGAAATTTCAGGGAAAGAAAAATTAAAGGACCCACTATAGTGCCCTGAGAGTGCCCCCACCCTCAGGGACCCCCTCCCGCCGGGCTCTGGAGAGAGGAAGGGGTTAAACACTTACCTTTCACCAGCGCCGAGCGGGGAGCTGTACTCCTCCTCTCCTCCCTGCTCGCGATGTCATCGGCTGAATGCGCACGAGCGGCAGGAGCCGCGCGCGCATTCAGCCGGTCGCATAGGAAAGCATTTACAATGCTTTCCTATGGACGCTTGCGTGCTCTCACTGATTTTCACAGTGAGAAGCACGCAAGCGCCTCTAGCGGCTGTCAATGAGACAGCCACTACAGGCTTTGGAGGCTGGATTAACCCTCAGTATAAACATAGCAGTTTCTCTGAAACTGCTATGTTTATTAAAAAAAGGGTTAATCATAGAGGGACCTGGCACCCAGACCACTTCATTAAGCTGAAGTGGTCTGGGTGCCAAGAGTGGTCCTTTAAATTTCAAATAAAGAACTTCTTTCCCCCCTCCCCCTTCTTACTCCCCCCTCCCCTCTTCTTACCCCCCCTTTCTTACTCCCCTCCCTTTTCTTCTCCCCATCCCCTCTTCTTACCCCCTTTCTTACTCCCCCATCCCCTCTTACCTTCTTGCCTCCTCTTCTTACCCCTTTCTTACCCCCTCCCCCCCTTTCTTACTCTCCCCTCTTCTTACCCTCCTCTATTCACCCCCTTCTTACCCCCCTCCCCTGTAGTGTGGCCGAGCCGCTCTGCTGTCCGCGGTGGCTGGCCGGAGTGATAGGAAGGTGCACGCTCAGTGTGCACGTTTCTGTTTCCTGTACCCGGTCGGACTGACAGGAAGGTGCACACTGAGCGTGCACCTTCCTATCACTCCTGTCGGCCACCGCGGACAGCAGAGCGGCTCGGCCACGCGGGAGGGGAGGTGAGTACCAACTGCAGCCGCCTGACCACTCTTGACAGAGCGCTCAGGCGGCTGCAGTACTTAAAGGGCCGGCGTATAACACGCACCCATAATTTCCCCCCTATTTTCAGGGAGAAAAAGTGCGTGTTATACGCCGATAAATACGGTATTCATTCATTTTTTTTTTATTCTCAATTTTTAAATATGTACGCTTCATAATTGAGATTTATAGCTTTCACACTTTTTATAATTACATTTTGAATGTACTTATCACTAGATACATTTAACCTAGAACCCTTCACATCAAAATTGATATAAGCCCAAACCTAATGAATTTTTAATTATCTATGCCAATTTTATGCAGTATTTATAAAATGGTCACAGTAACATATTGTCTGTGTCTCTTGCCTCGCTTGCATCACTATGGAAATTAAGATATAAGAGACAGCAGAACTTTAGGACCATAAATACCTCATGGAGCTTTTGGAAGTGACGCGATGGACGTATGAAGACTACAACCCAATGTCCCAGAACATTCAGGAAGAAAGGAAGCTAGAGGCTTGGAACGCAACGCTCTCCCTATGCTGTGGGAACTTGCGAGAGTCCAGTCTCATAGTAACATTAATGATATGACAACGAAAAGGAGGCTTGGAATGTTATGCACTCCTGGAAAGGTAAGAGATTGCTTGTATCTGAGCCCAATTAGTCCACTATTAAAGGACCACTATAGGCACCCAGACCACTTCACCTGATGAGGTGGTCTGGGTGCCAGGTCCAGCTAGGGTTAACCCCTTTTTTCCATAAACATAGAAGTTTCTCTGAAATTGTTATGTTTATAAATGGGTTAATCCAGCCTCTAGTGGCTCTCTTGTGTGTGTGTGTGTGTGTGTATATATATAATAT